AGGTTATCTGCTGAAACTGAGACAATGTTGATTGTGAGTTTTTCAAATGTCATGTCTCATTGCCTTGAGGAGCACAAACATCATTTTATTCACTTAACATAAACAATCCAATTACATTTAGCTCTTTGCCTCTCATCAGTCATTTTATAATAATAGGTTAATTTTGACTAAACTGGTGTTTTAATTACTGACATAGCGGCTTAACACTAATTGGAAAATGCAATTAACGTTTTTTGATGACAATTTATTTAATGATTTTTTACCGTGTAGCCCATTAGGAAGATTTGGACTGTGACCTGAGAGGATGACACGTTTTTTTTCTCTTTCTTTTATTATTTATTTCTTTTATATTTAACATTTGAGTTGATGAGTGATTTCAGGTTTGTTGCCTCTTTCTTCCTGGTGTTGTCTGCGCAGGTAGAGAAATCAAGATTAATTTCATCACTTCTTCTAGCCGCAGACGAAAGACATTTATTCTAGTAAAAAGTGTGAAAAACAAGCTCCCACAGATTGAAAACTGCCTGAGCTCAATAATCCATCGCACCAAAACATGAAGCGCTAATTTATTTTTGTCAGAGTTTTCTGTTTCATCATTATTTCATTGTGCCCATGTTGAGCATTTTCATATCAGTGTGTGGATTAAGTAACACTCTGCTTAGTGTCAATCACCTGAAACCCACAGGGGGAAATGAAAGGAAATAATCCCTCAAAACCGTACAAACTTTGACACATACATGCTCACAATAAGCTCCGAGACAGACACACAGAGCGAGCAGGAGATGTCTCTTCAAAACAAGAACGTGTTCTTATTAAAACTCCTGCTGACATTTTGTTCTTTTAACCCTTTACAGTCAGTTTTCCCCTTTTAGTTCTCCTTAAGTACCTTTTAAAGGTCCTTTCAGACAGTAAATGGTCGCAAGCAGCTCCATTAATCTTGAACGCACATATGTTTTTAAAGAAAAGAGAAAAGCAAAGAGCATCACGGTCCTATCTCCTTCCTCCTCTTGTGTGTGTGAAGCTTTTATTTTGAGTTTATTCAGCAGTACAATGTGGTACAGCTTTGTATTCTGCTCCGCGTTTCATCAGAAACTCGATTACACCGATTAAAGTCTGTGTGATCAGCTCAGATCTACAGGGTTTCATTACAGAAACGTCCAGTGAAAGAAGAAAAAGCCACTAAAACTCAGATATGTCTGTTGTTGTATTCACCACTGCCCGGTCTGAATTGTAACTCTCTCTCTGTATTAACCTGTAGTTGCATCACAGAATAGAATAATTAATGTGCAGGTGTAACTTGTTGTTGATTATTGATCCTGTCCGGCAACCATGACGGATCATTACTGACTGTGAGCGGATTAAACAAGCGTGTGTTGAGTTGTTGAGCTTTAGAGATGCAGGTAGGAGCTTTTTGAGCGTTTGGAGAGAAGCAAACAAAGAAGTTTGTTTCCCACTAGTCTCATGGAGGCACGAGAGAGCTTTTGATATTATCATGTAACTCTGAAGGTAGTTCAGCAATGTGTGAATATTTTTCCAGACAAAGCATTCAGTTAGAAGTATAATCAGTAAAGAATATCAACGTCATTTTCAGGCGATGCCGTTTACATTTCCCTCCAAAATCTGTACAGTACAACGCTAATTGAGCATTTTTATTCCGGCTCTGCAGTTGTACTGTGGGTCCTGTGAGGTGGCACTTGTTGCGCGCTAATTGTCGCCTCTTGGGAAATGTAAAAAAAATCTGATTGAATGAGTTTAGCAGGGGCGCATTTCATATATTCACTTAAAACCAATTTATCCTCACCGCTTGAAACTGATGATAGGAGAGAAACTCTTTTGCTAAGTTGACACACACACACACACTCACACACACACACACACTCACACTCACACGCACACACACACGCACCATGGTGTGAGTGTGTGAGTGTGTGTGTGTGTGTGTGTGTGTGTGTTTCTAAATAGTCCATTAGTGTGCTGTAAAAACACAAATTAGTTGAGATGAAGAAACAGACCCACTGGGGTTCAGAGCTAATAGCCTACACAGTCATATAACACACACACACACACACACACACACACACCAACTCATACAGTGTGTCAATAAAGACATTGAGCTGAAATATCACTGAGAATTCACACGGTGATGTTAAACATTCGATTTTCTTTCAGCGGCTCCTCTGTGCGTCTGTGCGTATTAGTTTTGGTGAGTTTGTGAGTTACAGAATATTCTAATGAGTCAAACGTGTGAATTTGTACAGTTTATATATGTGTGTGTGTGTGTGTGTGTGTGTGTGTGTGTGTGTGTGTGTGTGTGTGTGTGTGTGTGTGTGTGTGTGTGTAGCTGAGTTGTAGTACAGTTAGTAATGAAGGACGGTGAAAGGAAAATGCAAAATAAGAGATTGGGAGAAAATGTGCTTTTGCATCACTGAGAGAGAGGAGGAGGAGGAGGAGGAGGAGAGGGGTCACAGAGGTCATTAATGGGTCTCCATGGAGAGATGATTATGCTATCTCTTTAAAACACAGGCATTAGGAGAGAGGTAGAGAGTCTGATGACTAACTTTATGCTCTAATTGCACAGAGCTGGAGGGACAGGACAAAAAAAAACAGCTTGTACAGTCCTTGACATTCCCACCAGAGTGAAGCTAAGGAAAGAACCTGCAGCTCGGCAGAGGGCCTTGAGAGGCAGGTTTCGGTTTCTGTGTTTCCTCCATCTGTAATTGTAGTCTGGCGGCCTGCAGAGAAGACAGAAATGTCAGCAGGGCTCGCGGCAAATTGCCAGAGCAGCTTTTTCCAGAGTGTGTGTGTGTGTTTGTGTGTGTGTGTGTGTGTGTGTGTGTGTGTGTGTGTGTGTGTGTGTGTGTGTGTGTGTGTGTGTGTGTGTGTGTGTGTGTGTGCGTGTGTTGCATACGTGTAGAATGGATTCACTTATTCTGTTGATTTGGGGACAGCAGTCTAATTGGGTGCAAAATAGTTATCCACATTTTTTTCATATACAAACTGCAGTTGCCTTCAGTGTCATCAATCGATTGGGACTCTGATAGTTTGGGGAGATGCACGTCTTTGATGTTTTTTGAGGATGATGTGTCCAATGCAGAGGTTAGTCCAGGGCATATTTAGCCTGGCGATAAACCAAGACTGTAACAAGAAGCAACTGCTAGCGTAGCTCTGTCGCAAGAAAGGTGGTGTCTTGCTTCTTTATGTAATTTATTTATACGTATGTAAAAGAGAAAATCCTCCTCCAGAGTAAATACCTGTAGGTTTCCACACATGGAACTTACCTCAGAGAAAGATGTGAAGAAAAAGGTTCGACAGCTCAATGTCTCTTTGCAGCAAACAGGTGACGGCCACCTGCCTGCACCTATCGACCTGTGCTGGTCTCAAGGAGCCGCGATTGATCACTGTGCAAGACAATACTTTCAGGGAGCTATTTTGGTCCCATTGCAAGGATCTTACTGTTTACTCCAGATAATGATACGCCACACAATAATGCCTACAAAGTTATGGACTAAAAGCAATAAACAAAAAAACCAACTGAAGGTCTGCTCAGTAGAAAAAGAAAATAGCAACAAAAACTGAAAGTTAATCAGCTAAAAAACAAGAGACTACAGTACACGACATTAATAAAGTATTGCACATGATCGCATAATAAAATATAAATTAAATGAGTATTTATTTATTTATTTTTATTGATCCAATTTTCACATCTTTTTCTGCAGATTATGATCCATATAAAAGAGATATAAACCTTTGCTTCTGTTGCATTACGCTGTGAGAGACACAGGAACACTGATCTGCTGCTGATGCCTGCAGACGTGACAGAACTGAATATCTGAAATAGTCCAAATGATTGCCATAAGTCAGTGGGGGAATCATATGGGGAAAAAGCTCATTCAAGGCCGATCTGTGGGTCAGCACTGTGACAAACTCAAATGAACGATTGACAGGCAGCCTCCCCAGTCAGTTCAGGAAAGTGGTTGAGCCGTCAAAATAGAGGAGTTTCACACCCTGACACCAGCTTCATTTTAAACATATCAATACTGTTATCATGTCACAACACAGTGGCAGTGGCACGTCGCCTACATTTAACTTTGGGGTCTTCAGAATTCTGGCAGAAAAACTTACCCTGTTGAAAAACCATCTTTTCTTCTTCTTTGCTGAATTTTGTTGTAGACATTTGCTGTCGATTGATCATTCATCTGGCTTCTCATCATCTGTACATCCATCACTCTGTGCTGATTGTTGGTGCTTCAGTTTCTACATCTCTCTGTGCACAACAAAGAAAGAATGAAGAGATGACTCAGGAAACACACACACACACACAAAGTGTAAGAGGAGGTATTATTTCATCTCTCAGTGTTATGATGATAATGATAGTGGAGAATTAGGAGCTATATTTCTCACTCTATCTTTATTTCTTTGTCTGCTTGCCATACAAGAGCTGTTTTTGACCTTACCAGCAATCTGTTTCACTATTTATCTTCCTTTCCGTGTGTGTGTCTGTTTGTGTGTGTGTGTGTGTATGTGTGTGTGTGTGTGTGTGTGTGTACCTGTGTGTGCACATCCATCCCTCTCAGCTCTCTGCGATTACCACTAACTACTCCTGGGCACAGTAGTTCAGGTATCGATTTTCCTCCTTGTTTGTTCTGTCTTTCTGTCCCCTCCAAACCACTCTGAGAGTGTGTGTGTGTGTGTGTGTGTGTGTGTGTGTGTGTGTGTGTGTGTGTGTGTGTGTGTTGTGTGTGTGTTTGCTCTCATACGTCTATCTTTGTGAACGAATTTCAGTTCCAAAAATGTTTGTACTCTCTGGTTAGATGCTAAACTGCATTTTGTTTTACTGGGACTTTTGCACAATGATAAATAAATGAATCTTGAAACTACAGCATTTATGTGAATGATGGTTCTTCTTCTAACTCCCTGAAACCCTGGACACCGTGAGTTTCTGTGTATTTGTGTGTTTTTGTGTGTTTTTGTGTGTTTTTGTGGTGAACAGCTCATATGCATGGATGGATTATGATACGACAGATTCCAGGGTGGAGACAGGTAAATGGCTCCTAAATAAGATCGAGAACCACAGAATTAAGAACCGTCTATTTGGTTCTGTTTTTTTTCTCCTTGTGGTTGTTTTGTGTGTTTCTGTAGTCATCTTGTGTCTCTTTGTGCTTTGTCAGGAGTGATGGTTCCCCTGGGCCTGTGCCTGACAGACCCATTCAGTAATTTATTCATGCTCTCGGGCACGTCTGTGTTTACGTGCATGTGTGGATAACACATGAAGTCTTGTAGTCACAAATATTAATCTTATTTTTGTAAATTGTTTGTGTGAATTCAGAAGTCTTCAGTAGTTGTTCTCATTAGTCCATAATTTTTTTTTAAGGCTTCTATTGTGTAATGACGGAAAATGTCCAGTAGAGAGCGACAGAGGGCTGTGAACATCTTTTCATTGACAGTCACTGTATTGAACCACTGATCATGTACGACAACATCACAGCAAATATGTTTTAAATAACCTCTTATGTTGGATTATATCTGTCATTAAATCTTTCAAAGACTCAAGACTCAACAGTAGAAATGAAGTAAAAGGCAAGAAACTGAATCTGTGAACACTGACCATTAAGTCAAGTACTCTTGCCATGATGTTAAATGAGAAAAGACTATTTATAAAGACTAACGCTTTGTTAGACCATTTTTTTCCTAAGAACATGGCAAATTTCACATATCCGTATTAAACAACTTGACATTTGTATCTAAAATATCACCAATAAATGGAAATGGTTTTTCTGGCATCATCATCATCATCATCATCATCATCATCACAGCCCATTTGAAAACTAATGATGTCCATAGAGTCTCCTTTGTCCAAAAATTAGGTTCTCCTTCTGTTGGCACCAGTCATTCAGTTTTCAGTGTGGATACCTTTGAATGACAGTAAAAGACAAACACTTTAGTTCAGACATGGTGGATCACAGTTAGTCACACATATATCAGCTGTCAGGACGTATTTTTTTATATGTAGTACCTCTGGTGTCCTCCGGGGGGCAGTAAGAGGCCTGAGCGTGTGATCTACCTGCAAATAAAAGCCAAAGAAGAAGTTTCAGCGTCAATGGAGGGAACTTTGACAGTGTAAACATCAGTGTGTCAGTGCCTGTACACTTTGGGTGAACTTAGAAAACTTTCTATCTTCTTTAATCGACAGATCATTTCACTTGAGGCAAAACGAAAGGTTTGTATCACACCAACGTTACTTTTACAGTGTTTTACCAGGACATTTCGTAAAAACCTGCACGATAACAGATAACAAGTTAGCTAACAAGGATAACGTCAAAATAAACTCTAGTTAACGTCAAAGAACATTTGAATTCGAAAAAATAATAATTTAAGACATTTTACAATGTGTGTTATTAATGTTAACAATAATAATAATAATAATAACACATAGTGTTCGACATCGTTTTTTCATCATTCCCCGTGTTATGGGGTTGTAGCGAAAGGTACGAACGAACGTTACTAGCTAGCAAACTCCCAACGTTTGAATAACAATGTGTAAATTGGTGACATTTTGTTATGGAGCCACAACAGTTTATTGGGGCAATAAGTAAATGAAAATCAACAGTTGCATTAAGTGCACACATTGAAGCTCAGTTCTTTAAAATACGTTTAGATGTTGTCTTATGTAAATGTTAAAGATGCACTGTAAAAACTTAAATAAGCTATTTTAGTATTTCACGTGTTTCCACTGCTTGCTGCTTAGTCGCTTAAAGCAGTTTTCTTTTAATTTAAGCAGGAGAGAACAAAGATTTTCTCATTTTTATTTTGGCATACGTTCATTACACATGTATGCCTGTGCCCCAGTGCCTGGATGGGAAAATTAATATATGTCACCGACAAATTATGTAGCAGATAACTTTTCTAGGATGCCTCTGTGGTTAGTGCATCATCATTGTCTGTGGCACACATGTATTTTACTGACTTGCTTTGTGCTTTGCTGTCACTCTCACTACTTCTTGCTCTGTTGCTTCTTCCTGCTTTGTCTTAGGGAAAACAATGAGTGGAGGGGAATCCAGGAGAGGCTCATGGAGGGGTGGGGGTGGAGGAGGGAGAGGAAGAGGAGGAGGAGGAGGAGGAAGTGGTGGTGGAGGATGGAGAGGAGGTGGGGGAGGATGGAGAGGAGGTGGAGGAGGATGGAGAGGTGGTGGGGGAGGATGGAGAGGAGGTGGAGGAGGATGGAGGAGTAGACCATGGAGAGGAGGATCAGGGGGAGGAGGGAGGGGTTCAGGAGGAGGAGGGTGGAGAGGTGGAGGTAGTCCTGGGTCAGGAGGATCCGTTAATACCTTCAGCACTCAGAGAGGTGAGTCAAATTTGCTTTTCCATTTGACATATATCCAGTAAATCTGCATCCACTCTTGTTTGGCACAGAAAAGGAGAACATGGGGAAGCTTTTATTTTACATCAGCTGAAACAAATGAAATATAAACATCTTCCTCTAACATTTACCTGATGACAATGAAATTATACATAAAAGAAATGCAACACTGCTGACTGACTGCCCTCTGTCTCTCCAGCTCTTTGTCAGACTACCCTGGATGCACTGTGTCCGTACAAAGGATGGGCACTGTACTTCACAGAAGGTACATGTGTAGCTGTGTTTCACATGATGATACGGACACAGATTATGATATAATGATCATGATAATGTGACTTTCTCTGTGTCTTCATGTGCAGGCTTCATACAGAGCTCACCTAGTGTGGAGAAGATTAAAGTGTTTGAGAAATATTTCACTTCCAAGATTCAGCTGTATGACAAGGTCGGTCTGTCTATCTGCTTGTCTAGCTTTCTGTTTAATAAACTGATTGTTGGGGTTATCATTTCTCAGTATAGTCTGTCTGCCTGTCTAGGTATTTATGATGAGAAGGGAAATATTCCATGCCAGTTAAAAGGAGCATTCTCTTGTGTGCAGGATGAGATTGAGCGTCAGGGCAGCGTTCTAGTGGATTACGCAGACTTGACTGGAGACAAGACTGTGCGTAAAGCGCTTCCTGACCTAACCACAGAGCTGAAGGAACAGCCAGAGTTGATACTCAACTGTTTGGGAATGGCTGTTCACCAGGTACACACACACAGTTGCTGCTACATGTGTGTTACAATCTATAATCTTCAGAACGTATACATACCATGAATATTTATAGTCTATTAAATACTTATAAGCCTTGATAAATGAATATTTAATGTGAAGATGAACACTGAAAATTAATTCTTTACATTACCTCATTAGTAGCAGCTCTCTCTAATTGTAAAAAGATCTGTGTGTGTGTGTGCGTGTGTGTGTGTCTGTTTTTTTCAGGTGTTGACTATAGATTTGGAGAAACAGGCTGCTGAGTTGCAAGGGGAAGAGCTTCCTGTTGCCGCGCCAATCATCAACATCCCTCACATTAGTGCGAGGTGATGCTCAATTTAGTTGTTTGCTTGACACTTGCACTACTGCGGACTGTGAATGACGATGACTTTGTTTGTGTAAATTTTCCACAGGCTGTATAACTATGAACCGCTGACTCCGCTGCGGACACTGCGTGCCAGTGTGTTTGGGCGGCTGGTTTGTGTGAAGGGAACAGTGGTCAGAGTTAGCAATATCAGACCTCTCTGTACCAGGATGGCCTTCAGATGTCTGGGCTGCTCACACACACAGTCTCTGCCACTGCAGCATGGGAAATATGCAACACCTACCAAGGTATGCAAACACACACACACACACACACATAGCTCCAGCTCACTTTTTTTCCTGCAACATCTTTTCCATATTATGATATTTCCTCGACTTATACACAAGCAATACTGTGCACATAACATACAATTTCCTTATAAGAATGTGCACATAATCATCTTTGACAGCATTTTGTTATCATGGTTTACATTTGTGTGTATGTACATGTGTCTTTTATCGCCTAGTGTAGCCAGCCTGACTGTCGCAGTCGTTCCTTCACCCCCAGCCGGAGTTCTCCTCTTACACACACTGTAGACTGGCAGATTATCAAGTGAGTATATCATATGCAATTGAACAACAGTGGAAAAACTGTGTTGAGACGTGGTGAACTAAAATCCTTGTAACTTAACACTTGTTAATTGAGGGCAAGAGAGAATGTACTGTTTCGGTTCCAGCAGTGGTCCGTGAACGACATTTTGAAGTTGTTCTTTTTGATCATAAGTAAGAGGAGGCACCATTTAAATTTTTGGTACTAGAAAAGCCGCTGACATGGGAACACCAAAAAATCTGAATCAGGGCCGAGAGAATGTGTTTATATTAGCTGTTTCTCTGATCAGAAGGATTCGGGAGGGAGGGCGTTGAAATATCTTCATATCAGAGTGGCAGCTACAGCAACTGGTCATTGTGCAAAGTGCACTTTATCAGAAGTTGCACAAAATGTTGTTGTGGCAGGTTAGCTCTAATAAAAAGTGAATATTGTGACAATGTCCCAGCTTTTCTCGGAACATATTCTGATGCAAAAATATATTATTTGATATTGATGCTACTTCAGGGTGCAGGAGTTGATGAGCGGAGAGCAGAGGGAGACTGGACGAATCCCACGCACCGTGGAGTGTCAGCTGACCTCCGACCTCTGTGACAGCTGCGTCCCTGGAGACACTGTAACTGTGACAGGGATAGTTAGAGTTACCAGCGATGGTAAAAACACACCTAAACACACATAAAGCGTAGGAAGTTAAATATATACTATATATATGTGGGGTCCAGAAGTCTGAGACCACTTTCGCATTCAAGTGGTCTCAAACTTTTGGACCCCACTGTACATATATATATATATATATATAAAACCATCAACCTATATTTAAGTACGAAATGAATATGAAGTGCTCTTCTGCTCTCACAACCACTGTCACAGTGACGACAAACATGACACACAAATAACATACTTATTGTTTGCAGGTAGTTCCCGGGGGAATAGGGATCAGTGTATGTTCCTCCTCTACCTTGAAGCCACATCAGTCAGTAATACTAAAGGTACTGTAGCTGGTACTGTGTGTTGTATTTTTCTAGTTGGTCTTGAATTATGCAGGTACGTATAACAGAGCAATAAGGTGTGTCTTTTGTTAATGTGCAGGTCAGCACTCCAAGTCAGGTCAGGGGTCAAGAGGGTCGCTTGAAGATCATTCTGGAGGTGAGGAGTTCAGTCTGAAAGAGCTGTATGCCGTCCAGGAGATCCAGTCTCAGCCTGACTTACTGAGACTCATAGTACAGTAAGATATTCATTACCTACAGTGTTACATGTAGTTTTAATATTAGTCCTATTTTAACAAACGCTCTCTCTCTCCCTCTTTCAGCTCTTTGTGTCCTGTCATCTATGGTCATCTCGTGAGTTGTGCCTTCATCCACATTAAGAACACCAACAACAACCTTCATCACAAAGAGATACTTGTGATTTGGTTGAATACACTAATATAATGCACACCAGATAAACGGGGGAATTTTTGATTACTTGATGTGTCAAAAATGATAAAAGTTGTACACCTGTTTTCTTGTGTCCCTAGCTGGTGAAAGCTGCCCTCGCCTTGGCCTTGTTTGGTGGCAGACAGAAACACACAGACAAGAACAGTGTTCCAGTCAGAGGAGACCCACACATCCTGATGGTGGGAGACCCTGGACTGGGGAAGAGTCAGATGTTACAGGTAACACGAGTATTACTAAACATTTGTCATTTTGTCACTCCTTAGCTGAGGTTGTAATTGTAATACATGTCTACTCTGTTTGTGTTTGTGTTTTTGTGTAGGCAGTGTGCAACGTCGCTCCCAGAGGAATTTACGTATGTGGCAACAGTACCAGCACCACAGGTAAATTGTTAGTACTACTCCCCCTAAATTATATTGCATGTGTTTACTTTCTGAACAGCTATTCAGTTTTATTGCAACATTACCAAACTGGAAATGTCATATTTATTTTAATTTTATTTTTTTTAGGATTAACAGTGAGTTTATCCCGAGATGCAGGAACAGGAGATTATGCTTTGGAGGCTGGAGCCCTGGTGCTGGCTGACCAAGGTAGGAAAGAGTACAATCATTGGTTTTAAAAGTGTATTTGTGCCTTTTAATTTGAAACGATGGGTACAGGAAATGGAAGTAACTAGCTATCATTAAGTCACATAGACGTTTATTACCTATTGATATTCACTCTGACCACCTGCGTGCTACATGCACACCACTGAGGTACCTGACGAAACCCTTCATAGTCAGACTGGCCATGGAGCGTACCAGGACAAATCCTGGTGGGCCGCCGTGTTCCAGGTGTGTGTACGGGACAAATCCTCACTTCATCGACTCAAGCATCCGTTTTATTCTCTCTCTCCGCCTCTTCTCTTTAGGTTTGTGCTGCATTGACGAGTTTGATAAGTTGGGCAACCAGCAGCAGGCTCTGTTGGAGGCCATGGAGCAGCAGTCTGTGAGCCTGGCTAAGGCCGGAATAGTTTCCTCTCTGCCTGCAAGAACGTCAGTCGTAGCTGCTGCAAACCCAGTCGGAGGACATTACAACAGAGGCAAGACTGTCTCTGAGAACCTCAAGTGAGTAAAGTCAATGTCAGTAAAAGAAATGCATTTTTTAGCTATGTTGTATGATATTACTGTGTATCTGTAAACTGATTAACAGTATGTATGTTTGTGTCTTTAGAATGGGCTCAGCTCTCCTCTCTCGCTTTGATGTTGTCTTCCTCCTCCTGGACATCCCAGATGAGTCACATGACCGCCGCCTGTCAGAGCACGTCATGGCAAATAGGGTAGGAAAAGGCAGAACCAGCAGTGCCACAGTCACCAGGGCCAGCAGTGAAATGGACACCTCCATCCTGCTAGAACACTCAGACATGCCGCTGTCTGAACGCTTGCAGGTAAAAAACAGACCAAACAAGCACTGTGAACACAAGAAGGAGATTCGTATCGGTCAAACAGTCCTTTGTATTTATGCATTTCATGTTTGTTTCAAGATCCCTGCAGGTGAAACTGTAGACCCCATTCCAGCCTGCTTGTTAAGGAAGTACATCAGCTATGCTCGTCAGTACGTCCATCCCTCGCTGTCTCCAGAAGCAGCACAAACACTTCAGGACTTCTACCTCTCACTGAGATCTCAGGCGCACTCTGCCGACACTACACCCATCACCACAAGACAACTGGAGTCTTTAATTAGATTAACCGAGGTAAGTTTTATGTCTTTGTGGCCGTCGGCGTAGTCACCATCAGACCTTGCAGCATGCGGTGAATTAAGACATCTGCTTTTTCTGCTTTAGTTTCAGGCTAACAAGAAGAAAAGATAGAATTTTTCCAGCAGTGTCCCAGTACTTAACTGTATGTGTTTGACTGTGTGTTTTTGTGTAGGCAAGAGCCAGGCTGGACCTCAGAGAGACGGCTACCAAGAGCGATGCTGACGATGTGGTGGAGATCATGAAGCACAGGTGACACTACGGGAGACTTTGTGTGAACTAGGGCTGCAACTATGGTTGTTATTGATTAATCTATATACAGAGAGAGAGAGAGAGAGAGAATTTTAAAACATATTATCCCACATCAAAACCATACAAAACCATTATAGAGTTGGTTACTGTGACGGCATCAAGTAAGAACGTTAAGATTTTATGTCACATGTGCAGCCTGAGCGTTGAAGCTAATGTCAGATGTAAATTTCTCTTTCTACCTCTGTGTGTTGTGTTGTGTTGTGTTGTGTTGTGTTGTGTTGTGTTGTGTTGTGTTGTGTTGTGTTGTGTTGTGTTGTGTTGTGTTGTGCAGTCTGGCTGATACATATTCAGATGGTCTGGGCAATCTGGACTTTGACCGCTCTCAGCTTGGATCAGGCATGAGTCAGCGCAGTGCTGGAAAACGACTGATCAACGCTCTGCACTCTCACGCACAGAGGACCAGTCAGAAGCAGTTTGACCTACAGATGCTTCGAAGTATCGCAGACAGACTGAACATCAAGGTGAAATGCACATGCACTTGATAAAAACTCATAAAACATAATAATAATAATAATAATTTTCACTCACCCCCAGATTTTTAGTTGGTCTCAAATGATGCTGGTGCTACACTAAAAACTGTATCATTACATTGTATGCTTGCTTTAGGTGATGGACTTTGAAGGTCTGGTGAGCTCCCTGAATGAACAGGGTTTCCTCCTGAAGAAAGGATCCAAGCTGTACCAGCTGCAGACAGTCTGATTCAGAATATGTGCCTGCTCCTAACTGCACCTCGCTGCCAGGTCAGTGTCAGGGATTCATGAAAAGGGTATCTCTCTGCAGAAAAGAAAAAACAAACTAAACAAATGTATGACTGATCGTACTTGTGATTTGGGTTTAATAGAATTAGACATTACCCACCTCTTCAATGATGGGTTTTGTCACAGATACCTTTATCTAAATATATAATTTATTTTTTCCAGAATTTAAACGCATAACTGGGTTTAGACTGGTTTATCCTAATAGTCATATACACATGCTTTCGTGTTATTTTAACGGTACATGGTGACTGTTTCAAACAACAGCTGTAGCTGAATCTTGTTTTTCCAGTATTTTCAAAGTAAGGTCAGACTTGGACGATGCACTGAGCGTCTGAGAGAAATGGTGATGTAATTATATTTGATAAATATTTAATACATGATTATACCTTTTCACTGTTGACTTTTTCATACAATTTGTTTTCTACATACATGACTTTGTACTAGAAACACTTCAATACAGTTAAAATGTGCTATATTTATTCATTGTTATATTTATGTATATAAAATGACATATGTATTTATGTGTAAATGTTTGGTGTTAGGTATCTTGGTAAAGATCAGTTTAATTGAAACAGTTGCTTCCAGTGATGCAGCTTGTCCTCGGTCTATAGAACAGTTTCTGCTGCACTCAGTAAGAGAAGTAGCTGCTTGATAACAATGGGTAACATCCACTGAGGTTGTTTCTCATTAAACTCAAACATTGAGCAATCACAGAATATATTTTTTTTACATGTCATGATATAAATATCCAAAGCTGCTGCCCATTTAATTTGATCATCATCATTTTTTCTTCTCATTTTTCTCTGATGCTCTTTATTATCTGCTGTTTGTGGTTACTTTCTGTATGGTATGCAATTTGTTAGTTAACATGAAACATTCAGTTAATAAATCATTTTATTTTTTCTAAATACCAGCATTTTTGTTTTGTTTTTACAATATTACAAAATGGGTTTGGCATTGCTTTAAATCTGGAATACAATTACCACAAATCATGATATCAAATTAAAATAAAAATTTGCTGATCATTAGTAACTTTATTTTTCATATATAAACAATAACACTGAATTACTCAATTGAAAACTAATTGAACACTGCATCAATCTTCCCTTTTTGTTTTTACAAATTTAGACAGTTATTCCTTGGAAATTATTGAAAAATTATAAGGAAAACAAAGACCCGTAAAATAAAGCTTTACCCAATTATTTTCCGACTGACCTGTAAAATAAATTGGTACTAAAATTTACTTTAATAACAGCACACCTTTAAAATGCTTGATGTACTTTTGACTATCTTCTTCTAAGACGTATTTTAAAGACTTCCCTGTCTCTTGCTCATATTTCTAATTCTAAATGTCTAATTTCAAAATAAAAGCCTTGTTGACGAAAGTCTCACTGGCGAATTTACGACGTCGTGCGCCGTATCAATTTACGGCAACATGGCAGCCTGCTAGCAAAAGCTGTGATTCCCTCCGCTCTGACCGTCAGACTCTTAAACTTCATCATGGAGCTAGACACCGACAGCACGAGACCGGCGGGTCGGTAACGGAGGGCTCGGGAAGGTGATGACGATGATGATGTGTTTTCGGAGGATTGCAAATGTTCGCTCTCTGGTGTCGCCGCGATCTGCGGGTGTGTGCTGGCTCGAGCCTGCGTCATGGCGGCACAGACAAACACCTGTCACTGAGTGCGCGAGGCTAAAGCGGTCTCAGGTGAGCGGCTCGTGGCTCGTCAGACTCAAAGGGACGGACAGCCGCGTCGGGTGCTGGAGTGGGATCCTCCCGCAGGTAAAACCGACAGGCTGGCACGAGCAAGGTACTGTGCTTCTGTACCGGGGAGGTCACGAGAGGTCAGCGGCTAGCTTCCGGTCTCTGCTGTCACCCAATGCTCGTGGGCTTTGCAGCGGAAAGACGAAGGAGACACCGGACAGCTCCCCGGCAGCGGACCGGCCTGAAGCCGGTGCGGTACCTGGACAAGGACTGTTCAAGTTCAAAGAGCTGGTGAGTACAGAGCTGTCAGTCTGTTACCTGTGAGGACGTGAAGTGTGTGTGTGCAGCAGGTAGAAGGAAAACAACCAGAAACACACCTGTTTAAAGTGTGTGTATCAGTGATAGAAGAAGCTTTTAGATCTTTAGCAGTACAACAGAGTATCTTGCATTGTAAATGTTACTTAAAGTATTTGGTGCTTCATGCTCATTCTGCAGAATGAGACAGAGAGAGTTAGGTCACTGGTTTAATGTTTATAAGATTGTTATTACTGGTGCCAGCCGCATGTTGAAGGCACAGCTGGAAAGATGTATCATTTCAAATCCTGCTTAAGGCTTAAAAATATTTAGTTTCACATACCTCAAACAGTCTTACTTTTTTTTTTTTTAGCTTGCAAAAACTGAAAAATCTGTAACTGCTAAAACCAGACGTTTTACCTCCATTCATAATTCATATGTGAAATAAATGAATTAGTTATTTTTTAGTTGATTATTCCACCCATCTGTTTTTCTGATGCTTGTTCAGGTCATGTTTAATGATTAATTTAATGATATTAGGAAGTACTCTGGGGAAGTACTTGACAAAAATGTGATATGTCAACAAATTAATGCATTTGCTAATTAGTTTTCATTGACTTACTTACCACATTGAGTTAACATGTGTCTAATCTGTTTTTCTGCAGTATGAAAATCCATGGACAATCCCCAACGTGTTGTGTATTTGCCGGATTTTGCTCGCTCCATTCCTGGGTCACCTGATCATCCAGCAGCACTTTCACCTCAGTCTGGCTCTGTTTGCACTTGCTGGCGCTACTGACCTGGTAATATAGAAACACACACTTCCACTAAAACAGTTATTGCACAGGTGATCTGTACACATCTGTACACAGATACAGACACTGCAGTGCTGAGTTCTGTGTATTTTCACCTGTTCAGGATTGTAAATTTATTGGGGATGCAAATTGTTTTTACTTTGAGACATTTAAACACATGGAAGCTGAAGTTATGATGAAGATTTTTGGTTTTCCATTAGCACTTCATGTTAATATCCACATCAGAGACATATTGTTTTTTTTTTAAAAAGTACTCATTTTGTACTGATCTCTATCTCAACTCTCTTTAAACTGATTTTTGGAGCTGTCTTGCACTGCAACAGAGCAGACAACATTATGTACATTAGCCATCTTTAATTTCTGGCTTGAGTGAAAAATCGGCTCATTCCACCAGCCACATACAAGACATGTAATTAACCGATGCTAAGCAAACATGTTTTATAATGAAGCACATCCCAGACATGTTCAGATTAGGATAGAAACTAAGGAGGGGATGTATTGACCCTCTCACTGCAAGTGGGAAACAAGGCTCCTTTACAGCCCTGAAATTTCATGTTTGCTTCTCTTGATTATTAAAGCATTTATCTAAATGTCTTAATCTCTTTCCCTGTCTTTCTCTCTGACTCAGTTGGATGGTTACATTGCCAGAACGTGGCCAACTCAGAAGTCGGCGTTGGGCAGCGCTCTCGACCCTTTGGCTGACAAAATTCTCGTCAGTATTTTATATGTCAGTCTCACCTATGCTGAACTCATACCAGGTACTGGACTCTGTGTTGTTTTTGCTCCCTAGTCGTGTGCTATTAAATTCAAGATGCAAAAAAGTAAAAGTAATGATAAATAACAATAGAGTTTTGTGATGTGATGACAACATGTACAAGGTTATTTATTGTCTTCCTCTGTTTTAGCTCCGCTGACGGCTCTAGTGATTTTCAGAGACATTGGTTTGATAGCTGCTGTCTTCTGGGTCAGATACAAGACCGTACCTCCACCGGTGAGACACATTAAATCATAAACACTTTGACAAGTTTTTGTGTTGATTTAATTGAATGTGAACTCTGACGCTTCAAGGTTTTTTGTACAAGACCTGCCAAAAGTAATAAGTGATGTCAGCGTGGTCTGCACTACCAAATTACACTTAAAAAACACTTTTTTCTTTTCTTTTTTCTGCAGGTGACACTCAGTAAATTTTTTAACCCCTGCTATACCACAGCTCAGCTCAAACCCACACTCTTCAGCAAGGTGAGACACACACACACACACACACAGAACCACCCACTCTATCACTTAAAACATTTTGTACATTGCTGCACTAAAGTGGAGATTTGGTAACACCAGAGCCTCACAGAATATGAGTGTGTAACTATTTTACAATTTACAACTTGTGCATGACAGTCACCAGATGCAGAAGCTGATAATCTGGCACAGTTAATTACAGAACTTGTACTCAGCTATGGGTTTATTGTCATTTTGATGAAGAGTTGATGAATTTGCAGGTAGAGGACTGATTATTAAAAACTGAGTATGCAAATGTCATAATCGTGTTAATCTTTGCCAGTAAACGGATTACGGCTGCAAATGTATTATGTAAATGTATTGGCTTATAAGTAATTTAATCAGGGAAGGAACCAAACCAACAGATCTGACGGTACTGGTGGAAATGTTAATCCCATTGACGTAAAGTCATTTCTTTAAAATTTGAATCTTTAACCAGAGATACTCTTCACATGCTGTCAAAATGTTCCTTTAGGCTCCACCACAAATTCTGAATAAGCTGCACAAAAAATAATGAACCAAACTTCATTTGTTAGAGAAGCAGTAGTAGTAGTAGTTGTTCTGTACATGAGAACGGTTCTTGTGCTGTCATATTGTTTTTATTCTGACTGTGTGTGTTTTCTGTTTGTGTTAGGTAAACACAGCCATCCAGCTCTTTCTGGTCGCAGCCTCTCTAGCTGCTCCAGTCTTCCAGTATACAGACAGTGTCCTGCTGCAGTGCATATGGTAAAGCACAGTCTATTACGTACGCATACACACACTGGCGCCATTCATTGGACCTTAATATCCATAATGCCCTTTTACCTTTCATCACAGTGTTTACAACAAAAAAAAAAAAAGTGATTGCGCAGAGGGCTTTTGAATGCAAATGACTTCATCCTAGTCAAGTACATAAATGCTGTTTGTTCCAGCAGAGTGTTCAGGTTAAGTGATTCAGTTCAATCTACAACTCAGAGTGAGTTGGAGTTGCAATCAGACTCAGGACAAATATTTTACGGTGTCACGGTAACCTACATTTATATACAAGTCTGCTTCAGCACGCTGTCAAACTGACTGCTCAGTTCAAGTTTGATGATTCACTACATTTGTTTTTTAAAGGTAACAGTTAATCAACTATAACGAGCCACTGGAGGATGATTAATAATTCCTCATATAACACAATAATAACCTGCTACAATGGAGAAATAATGCTGGTAGAAATATTTAAAATAAACAAATCTGACCAGTCAGATGGCTGCAATGAAACCACTGTTTGAAGTGCAGTATATGTCATAAGTTGTATTATTTTGCAGGTATGTAACAGCGGTGACAACTGCGGCGTCAGGCTATAGCTACTGGCACTACGGGCGCAAGACTGTCCAGGTGCTGAACACCAGATCGCCATGACAGCCACACCAGGAAACACCCAGAGGCCAGAACAAAAGCCGGGAATAGCCGCCGCAGAGACTCTGATCGTCCGTGGCAAAAGTCGGACGGACAGATGGACGATCGCCAGGAGCATTGAAACCAAGTAGCTGTGACAACCGTTTGTGAGTCACCGTGGCAATGACACGTGGAAACCAACCAAGGCCGCAGATGGTGTACTGCGAAACACTACAGAGACGCCTAACAGCAGCTCTGCTGACTGGCTGTGGACAACATACACAGATAGAAACAGCAAACACACACACAACTATACACACACATGTCAAGTATATGTAAGTGATCAGGCAAGAGCTTCTATTTTTTCTTAGTTTTTCAATCAAGAGGTTGTGATGTCAACCCAATCAGTGTCACATGAGTGTCAGTTTTGTAAACCAATGATTTATGATTAAAAAAAAAGAAAAAAAGAAGAGAAAATCAGCTTTGGTTTGTCTCTGTGTTTGTGTGCACATGTTCATGTGACTGTGTTAGATGCAGGGCTGGTTTTTTCTGAGGGGAAAAAAACAAAACAAATGTTTAATCTTATGAAACATGAATCTGACAGCTGATCCATCTGAAATCAACAGTCAGAGGATTTAAAAAATGGGTACAAAACAAAAAAGATGATGTGTTGCCATGGCTGCACAGGAGCCCGTCCTCTTGGTCCTGATCTGTTAGATGGTCCTGAGTCTTCAAAAAATGTATTCTTAATGCTAGAGCTTCAAAATATTAAAGGCAGTTATTCTATCATTGATTAGTTTGATAATGTAGATTTAACTGGCATGTAATTTTGAGCATCATTTTTCTAGCAGGAACACGTATTTGTTCCGGCTCCTTCATTGTGAGGATTTGCTGCTTTTCCTGTTTATATCACTGTAAATATATTTGAGTTTTGGATTGTTGGTTGGACATTTGGTGACCTCACTCTGGGCTCAGGGAAACTGTGAGGATCATTTTTAATTATCTATATTTTCTGACACTTCATAGACACTTCATCAGGTTAATCAATCGTCAAGATAATTGTTAGTCGTAGCCTTATTATTGATTAATCTGTCGTTAAATGTTTTGGTTAGCAGTCAAAAATGAAACATGGCAGCAGATAGAAATGATCCTTTTGGCTGAATCTTGTACATTTACATGAAATGATAATGTTAGACAGTGTGAGTTCTTATCTGAAATAACTTCTTTTTTGCACCAACAGTCCAAAACCCAAAGATGCTCCATTTGACATGATATGAAATTTAGGAAAAGCAACAAAGCATCACATTTCAGAGGCTGAAACCATGAATGTTTGAAAGAAAAAAACAATGAATCAGCTGTCAGTTAATTTTCTGTTTTCCAGCTAATTGTTTCAGCAGTGCTTCATGTGTCTTACTCAGGTAAAATTAAAGAGATTCCTCTGCTTATTTTCCCTCTTACGATTATGAAAAGTACCACAGGAGCTGCAACGCTCCTTTCAAGTTCTTCCAGTCTCAGGATCAATAAGCCCAATAAGCCAGAGGTTGTGTGGAGACTCGGTGAGAACACAAACTACTACCAGACTTTCTTTTTATTTATTTATTTTTTTTTGCTGAGCTACTCTGGCAGTTGTATCTGACTCCGCTGCTTTTTACCCTCAAGAAGACTTGTACAATGAGGGAAACGAAGCTGTGTAACCTTTTCAACTTCTCCACTCGTTTCCCAGCAATTTTCTGCACCACTTGGGTGATGCTGTTTCATTACCGACTGTGTGCGGATGACTGCCGGGCTTGAGTGAGTTGTTTTCGTGGCCTTGTGTGGGATGTCTGCTCATTATCTCTTCACTGAATAATTTAAAGAGTCTCATTTTTAAAATGAGATATCCATCACTGGGAACAAATTGATACCTACGCTCATTAAATGACTGTTTAAAGAAGTTCTGATGTTTTTTTTTTTTTTTGGCAGACTATAGTAACTTAAGTCCATATTTGATAAAAACAAATTAGAAGTGTATAATGTGGATGGTGCCCCACAGGCTTCTCGTGGTATTTGGGAAAAGCTCTTTAATTAGTGGCGCCTCCGAGATGAACTCTTGGAACAAAAAAAAAAATCGAACCTCTTTTCAAGCTCACAGAGGTGAACTTGTACTTCACTGGGATACATGTGATCATGGCTGACAGATATTGATAGCTCTTTTGTAGTTTTGCGTCGGTGTGGTAAAGTGACTCGGCTTAAACAACAACAAACAAAGAACTGATTTATAAACTGAAGCTGATAACTTCCTCTTGAATGTCTTCTGAACTCGTTCATGGCAGTGCAAGTTTTAGTAACATTCAGTTTTCATTATCTTTAGGGAATTTTGATGCAAAATAAAAACTTTTTGTCGAGAGGATAATAAACCATTTACCAAATTGGATGCAGTTTTTTTTACCCGTGACTGCGTAGTTTCTCTGTTCTTCTGGCCACTTTAGAAAAAGTAATCAGTCATTCTTTAGAAAGTCTTGCATATTCTAAAATCATATTAAAACCAGAGTAATTAGGAAGCCATTAATACCATATAATGTTATTCTGCGGTCATATTCAGAGAGGAATCTACGCCCTCATCTCAGGAAATGACTCCCACTCGCCTTTTGACCTTTGTGTAGATTGACTGTGAAATGGAAGAGAAAGTGGACGAAGTTTTACAAATTGGTCCAAAGCTGTAGTTGTTACAGGTCACCAGAAGGACACCAAGACACTGTATGTAGCATATATATATATATATATTTATATTTATTAGATAACATGGGTACCTCTATATACAGAAGAGAAGAGAAGGAAAATACATCTTAACAGTGATTTGATTCATTAATAAACCTGCAGTTTCTTTAAAACCATTTTATTTTATTAGTAGCAGCCGTGTATTTGATCATGTCTGTCATGGTGCAGCTGAGATGTCAGAACTCTAAACCTGAAGTTAAGTCTTGTTCCTTCACCCTGCTGAGAACATTTTAAGTCGCTGTAAAGCCTCTTCTTGGCCACTAGATGGAATAACCTGAAAGAAACTCAAATGATGCTTTTACATGAGTTATACATGAGCTCACCTTCATCACTGTTTTCAGTGAGGAGGAAGGACGAGGAGCTCAGCAGCAAGATGATACCTCTCAAATGGATTATACTGATTTAATAAATATAATAATAAAAGGCAACATGACTTGGCATTACATCATGTCATGATAGATTGATGTATATTAGAGAGATATGTGCTGTTGGATTCACTCATATATTCCATTACCAGTGCTGATCACAGCTGCATAAACAGTCAAAACTTGCCTTCAATTATGTGTGAATGAATAATAATCAAATCAAATTTTTTTTATAAACTGCGCTCGGTCTTGTCAAGCAGCAGCAAACTTTAAAAATAATACTAAAGTGGGGTTGGAAACTTAATTACAAATAACATACACACCACTATTGACTTTATAACACTTTTATTTGATATATTCAGATGAAAATTTACAATGTCAACCAATTATTCACAAATAGTTCTTCAGAGCCCCCGGGATGATCTGAAGAACTAAAACTGGCATTTCTCCATTGGTCTATCTTGCCTGTTAAGGTTACTATATTGAGGAGTTAGCCTAAATTGACTAAATTGACTAACAGCAATAGGGATCAACAGATTTTTCAGGGCTGATTCCGATTATTAGTAATCAAAGAGACAGAAATATTCAGAACCGATGCCAACACAAAACTACTGCTACATAAAGACACTCGCCATGGCTTTCAAGTTTCTATTATTTTGTCCAACCTATTTATATCAATAAAGATAGGCTAAATAACAGAAACACCTCTGTATAAACAGTATAATCTTCATGAAGGACAATTTATTACAGGGCTGTTGTATTAGACTATATCAGTTTTAGCTAGATGTTCCTAATAAATTGTCAACTGAGTGTACATTAATAAGTATAAGCTGTATGCACAGGCTGCAATAATCCTGACTGGAATGAATTGATTGCTTTTGGTGCTGTTTTCACCTGGGAACTGATACTGGCTCCCTGGCAGCCTAAAGATGTTGTTTAATACTTTTATCATATATTATTATTATCATCCCCATATAAAATGTTTTACCCTCACTCTTCCCCTTTTAAAAATGTAGCGCAGTAACACCTTTACTCAGAGTACATTACCTTTCATTAACAGCAGTGAGTGACCGTTTACGTGCTGACGTCACAGTAGTGTCTCATCGCCAGTCTCTGGAGTTTCTGTTACCGGTAGAGTTTATTGCTGCTCTATCTGAACACAGTTAATGTTGTTGTTTTCTTCATTATAGTGACTAACTACCTGCTGTACATTTAAACTTACCCACAGCTTTCTGCTGCTTATAGCGAATTTCACTGATTCAGCATTTGTTTACATGCTATTTAGAACTGATTGTTACTTTAGCTTAGCAGTTAGCTCTGGGTTCTCTCTCTCTCCCTGCTCAGTGTGTGTGTCTCGGACCAACAAATTAACTTGTACATAAGAGTGTTGTGTTTTTGTAGCTTCAGAATATTGGACTGCGATGTTTATTACAACTTCAGCGATGTCTGCTGTCATGCTGTGGACACACAGCTCCGCTCGCTAACCGGAGCTACAAACAAACTAGCATGTTAGTTATTACTCACGAATCCCTGAGTTGTCATCTGGAACAAGGGTGATGCCCGGTGATGGGAACCATGAGTGGTAGGCTGGAGACAACAGACCAAGCGATAGCTGCGCGGGAGACTTCTGCTCCTCAATGTGTTTCCTGGTCCTCTCTGTATAAGTGTGTACAAGACAGTTTTCTCAGTCACCTTATTCATTCACTTCACTCATTTACCTCTCATGCCGAGTTCGTTGAGCTTTAAACCAGCTGACAACATTAGCAACACACAGTAAAATTAGCTACTTCTACATTGAAAAAAATGCTATTATGGCTAGCGCGCTAATCGCGGTTAGCGTTTCACTTTAACACACGTTAATGACGCAGTATAAACATACATACTTAATGACATTTGTTTATCAGTCTACAGCATTATTTATTCCGAAATAAACGACATCACACTATCAACAACGTGTGAAGCAGCCACCTCCATCTGTTGTATTTCAGAGTTATCTACTGAAATGCGCATGTTCACCAGCCAGCCCCGACCTGTCCTGTGTTGTAATACCACTTTGTGACGCTAGACGCTGTGTGAGTCAGCGGAGCGTCAAGTCTGCCCTCAGTCTCACGAAGAACAACTTCCGGCAGCAGGAATGGCTGAACTTCCTAAAAGGCGATATACATCCGTATCCCGAAGGACCGCTCCCGACAAGAAACCACGTTCAATGGCAAAGAAAAGAAGCAACACGAGTAAATCTCGATGTGGCTTTCCACCGCTGGAGACGGCTCCTGAGAGTAAAGAGATGCGGTTTGATGCCGAGCTCGCAACTTTCCTGTTAGCCTGGTGAGTAGCATCAACATTAGCTCTTTAGCTAAAAGTATAATCAGTGCAAGGACTGGTAAACTGTACCGACAAACATTGATATTGACGTTGTCGACAGACGTTTTAGCGGTTACTAGACTTGTGTGTGTGTGTATATATGTATATGTATGTATTGTGTGTGTGTGTGTGTGTGTGTGTGTGTATATGTATATGTATATGTGTGTGTGTGTGTGTGTATATGTATGTATGTATGTATGTATGTATGTATGTGTGTATGTATACATATATATATATACATAAAATGAATACAATTTAAAAAAGAACTTGTATGATCTAAACTATTTGTCCTATCACATGTTTGTCTGCATCAGGACCAGAATTCCAGTCTAATCACCACCAGTGATGGACCCACACCTGCCTTTTCTTCTGCATCTGGCCTCATCAACCACATTACATTAACACCTTGAGGTATTATCCCTGCACATGACAGATATTGTCTATACTGTGATCTTTTGCACATCCTGCCCAGCAGGAGTTTTGTCATTCGCAAACACTTTTGTGCATAGTTGTGTAGTATGGTTTTCATTTTTTATATTTATATTTGACTGCTGTAGTATTTTACTTTTATTTCCTATGAATACATTAATTGCATACTACACCAAGCCAAATATCATGTAAGTGAAAACCTACCTGGCAATAAACCTTATTTTTCTGAGTCTGTCTTTGTGATTTTGTCATCTCTCCTCATGCTGCTATAGCCTGCCAAGGACCACCCATGTGTCATGCAGTATGCTCTTGATTTCATAAATCTGCAAGTGTATGACACTGAGGTTACAAGTACAATTTGGATCCTAATTTCACACCTGAATTTAACTTGTAACCTGAGTGTTACACACTTGCAGGGATTTTGACCACCAGGTTTTACAGTTTTGTGCTTTGTATGTGTACAGATGTTGACAGAAGCTCTTCCTCTTTCAGTGTCTTCGTTGCCTCACACTAATGTTTGAAAAAAAAATTTTTTTTTGTATGTATAAATAAATCTTCTACAAATTCTTCCCATGTACATGTATCATTTATTCATAAAGTCTTGTTTTTATTACAGTATATGCTAAATAAGGTTTAAATGGATGATTGCTACATCTTATGTTCTGGAGCTGTTAAACATGTCCTTATTTTTCCTTCTATGTTATATATGTCACAGGGATGGCAGAATCCACCTCAGCTGGAACCACACCTTGCTGTCGCCTAAACCAGCAAGAAATGGTAAGTCATGCGCCCAATGATTTAAACTAGAAAATGGTATGTGATTATTAATATATTTGGCCTTGAATATTACAATTAAAATACTTGTTTGGGAACATGCTGGCTCAGATTTGTTGTTCAGGAACTTATCGTGATGGAGTAATGAGGAACTACTCAGTAACAACTGTTCACTTCACTGACCAAAGCTCTACAAATAGTAAACTACCAGTTAAACCACAACCATGTAATGTTTAACATAGCCTGCTTCATGCTGAGATGTGTATTAGT